TCCTCCCCCATCCTTCTTTCCTCTCCCTCCCCTCTTCCTCTCCCATCCTTCCTTCCTCTCTGTTACCTCCCTCCTCTCTCTTCTTTCCTTCTCCTCCCTCCCTCCTTCCTCTCCCATCCCTCCCTCCTCTCCCTCCCTCCCTGTTTTCCCTGTCTCCCTGTTTTCCCGGGAAGGCGACGCTCTGCTGGACGCGGGTGAGTCCATGAAGCGCCTGGCTGAGGTGAAGGATTCCCTGGACATCGAAGTCAAACAGAACTTTATTGATCCCCTGCAGAACCTCTGTGACAAAGACCTGAAGGAGATCCAGGTAAATCCCACCTCCAGGGGGGGATTTTTCCCCCTCCTCCTCCTCCTCTCTCTGCTTTCCAAGGTGGGATCCAAGGGCTGGCAGGAATTCCCTGCGCTGGGTGTTTTCTCCCTCGTGCTGCTCCTGAGCAGGCTGGATGCAGCTTGGAATGGTTCCCAAAACATCCCAAAACACCTTCTGGCCTTGCTGAATCCGCTTCCTTGTGCTGGGAACTCCCAGTTTGGACTTCAAGCCCTGAGCAATCCCCCCCTCCAGGCCTCAGCATCCCGGGAAAGCCCTTTGGTGCCTCACGGGGGGACACAGAACTCTGGAGTGCAGGTCCATGTAAAACACAGCCAGGCTTTGGAATGGGATCTATCCCAACCCCTCATTCCCAAGGCAGCTCTCTTGAGTGAATTTTCACTCCCAGTGGTGAAAATTCCAGGAGCAGGTGCCCCAGGTAACATAACCCCCAACTGCTACCTCAGTGCTCCTCTGTCCCCCAGTTCCATGAGGATAAAACATTCCTGCCCTCAGAGCCCGGGAATGCAACGCCCAGAGCCACATTCCTGATCTCCAGAGATCCCTGGAGCTCCCAAGGAGCCAAAAGCAGCAGGACAGCTCTGGGACCTTCCCAAATGTGGGGCTGCTCTTGCAGTGTTTCCCTCGGTGGGAAGGGGCTGGAATCACTCCCCCATCACCCCCTGGAGCAGAGGTGGGAGCGCCGGGAGCGGGCGCTCCAGGATCGGGGTTTGGAGGTGAAGGAGCTCAGCCTGGAGCTACTCCCAGGAGAGCCTGGTTCCTCCTGCTTCCCTGCTCATCCCATCCTATCCCCAGCAGGACAGCTGTGGGACCTTCCCAAATGTGGGGCTGCTCCTGCAGTGTTTCCCTCAGTGGGAAGAGGCTGGAATCATTCCCCCATTCCATAGGAGCGCCGGGAGCACGCGCTCCGGGATCGGGGTTTGGAGATGAAGGAACTCAGCCTGGAGATGGAGCTGAGCTGCTCCCAGGAGAGCCTGGCTGCTCCCAGCTCCTCCTGCTTCCCTGCTCATCCATCCCATCCCCAGTAGGACAGCTCTTCACCTTCCCCACTGTGGGGCTGCTCCTGCAATGTTTCCCTCAGTGGGAAGGGGCTGGAATCATTCCCCTATTCCATGGGAGCACCAGGAGCAGGTGCTCTGGGATCAGGGTTTGGAGGTGAAGGAGCTCAGCCTGGAGATGGAGCTGAGCTGCTCCCAGGAGAGCCTGGCTGCTCCCAGCTCCTCCTGCTTCCCTGCTCATCCCAGCAGGACAGTTCTTCACCTTCCCAAATGTGGGGCTGCTCCTGCAGCGTTTCCCTCAGTGGGAAGGGACTGGAATCACTCCCCCATCACCCCCTGGAGTGGAGGTGGGAGCGGGCGCTCCAGGATCAGGGTTTGGAGGTGAAGGAGCTCAACCTGGAGCTGCTCCCAGGAGAGCCTGGCTTCTCCCAGCTCCTGCTGCTTCCCTGCTCATCCCATCCTGTCCCTAGCAGGACAGCTCTTCACCTTCCCCACTGTGGGGCTGCTCCTGCAGTGTTTCTCTCAGTGGGAAGGGGCTGGAATCATTCCCCTATTCCATGGGAGCGCCAGGAGCAGGTGCTCTGGGATCAGGGTTTGGAGGCAAAGGAGCTCAACCTGGAAGTGGAGCTGAGCTGCTCCCAGGAGAACCTGGCTGCTCCCAGCTCCTCCTGCTTCCCTGCTCATCCATCCCATCCCCAGCAGGACAGCTCTTCACCTTCCCCACTGTGGGGCTACTCCTGCAGCGTTTCTCTCAGTGGGAAGGGGCTGGAATCATTCCTCCATTCCACGGGAGTGCTGGGAGCGCACACTCTGGGATCAGGGTTTGGAGGTGAAGGAGCTCAGCCTGGAGCTGCTCCCAGGAGAGCCTGGCTGCTCCCAGCTCCTCCTGCTTCCCTGCTCATCCCATCCCATCCCCAGCACCACCTGAAGAAGCTGGAAGGGCGGCGCCTGGACTTCGACTACAAGAAGAAGCGCCAGGGGAAGATCCCGGATGAGGAGCTCCGACAGGCCATGGAGAAGTTCGAGGAGTCCAAGGAGGTGGCAGAGACCAGCATGCACAACCTGCTGGAGACAGATGTGAGCAGGGTTCTGTGTTCCTGGGGTGGGATCCCGCCAGGATGGCCCCAACTGGACACTCCTTGGCGCTCCTCGGGGGTTTGGCTCCGTGCGAACCCGGAGCTGAGTGACCGGCACGGGGCTGCTCCGGCCTTTGGGAGCCCCTGGTCCTGAGCCAGCTCCTGGAGCAGCAGAGGAGAGGCTGGGGCTTCGACCAGGCAGGTCTGCTCTGGGTGGAGGGATCAGGTGTGATTCCCAAAGAGGAACCACAGTGGAGGGATCAGTTCTGATTCCCAAAGAGGAATCTCAGTGGAGGGATCAGTTCTGATTCCCAAAGAGGAATCTCAGTGGAGGGA